TGTAGTCCCAGTTGGTATGGCTAGGGGGAAAGCTGGCATTAATGATGCCTGGGTCTGTGGTAGGGTCCCTGGCGGGGCCTGGAGCCAATTTCCGGGCTGCCTCCAGGATCCTGTTTCGCTCCTCAGTAGTGAACAGGACACTCAGGAGCTGGTGGCAGTCGTCTCAGGTGGGCTGGTGAGTGAAAAGAACAGTTTCCAATAAGTTAATCAAGTCGCTGGGGTTTTCAGAGAAAGGCGCATTCTGTGAGCGCCAATTGTAAAGATCATTGGTGGCAAAGGGCCAGTAATGAAAGGGCTGATTGCCCTCTCTGTCTGGGGGCCCAGCTGGCTGGAGGGGGAGGACAACCATGTCAGGCTGGAGGGCTGCCCCCCTCCTGCTCCTTGTGGCCTGTGCAGGCCCCTGCGGGAGCGACAGTGGTTCCTCAGAGTTAGGAGGCGGGGTCTGCACTTGTGGCGCTGTTGGCGGGGAAGCTCATCTGAGGGGAGTAGGGTGGGGGAAAGATGTCGCTCTCCTCCGTGCCTCCCTGGAGAATGGGTTTCTCTGCCGCCTTTTGTCTGAGAGGGAGGACCTGCGAAGTTGGGGGGGAAACAACAAGATTAACTGGGAGAAGAAAGGACTTGACCCAGGCGGGGGGGCCATCAGGTCGCTCGATGAGGCCCCGCCAGGTTACGATGTACGGAATCTGGTCCTGGTGGCCTGTACGTGGGTGGAAGACGTGGTCCTCTACTCTGGAAATCAAACTCAGGTTAAAAGTCCCTTCAGGGGGCCATCCAACATTTAAAGAGGACCAATCAACCGAACATAAAGTTGTCCATTTCTTCTTTTTTACATCTACACTATTGTTAAGGGCAATCGTCTTAACGTGCCCCCAGTGGACTAGCGTAAGACCCAGAGGGGAAGATGGGGTGTTGCCCATGGTATTCGTCAGTCCTTTCTGTTTCGTCAACAAAGAAATTAGAACAAAGAGCACAAGACACAGGAATGACACAGACAAACAGAGGGCCCAGAATAAGCTGCCACTTTCAGATGGTCTGGACTCTCGGCCATGTGAGTTCCCCGGCTTGATTATGCCAAAGACTGTACGGATAGGACATGCATGTCTCAACAGGGTCGCGAGGTCCTCTGAGGTTTCAAATGGACTAGTGTCCTGGTGGGGCGTCCAATGAACAGCATCCACCCTGAGGATGGGGACATCTCCCGAATCCTCCAGGTTGCCTCGTTAGCATTTCAGCAACAGAGAAAAACTGAGATCAGATGGCTGTGACCAAAGTGAAGGTTTAGAGAAGACAGGCACATGTACAATTTACAAAAACTTACCTGGCTGGTTGATCACAAATCTTTTGGGGTCGGTTCCTGTCGGGGGTCTCTGGGGGGAATCCCAGGAGAGCCCCCAAATGTTATACCTCAATCACAGGACCCCAAGAAGACCACCGAGGACCCAACACACCAAAAATGCAAATTTATACTTTATTCGGGCTTAAGCTCGGGCTCTCAGACTGCACCAATATAACGGAACCGTGCTGAGAGCCCCGGGTGGGGGAAGAAGGGGCTCTTTATAGGTTAGAAACAAAGAGAGGAGGGGAATAACAGTGTCACTTTGTGGTTGGTCCAAGAATCCTGCTCGCGCCAACACATCTTTGAACTGATCGGTTGTACAGGATGCAGTTGTGGAGATTTTTTTATTGGTGGGTGTTGTTCTCAGGGTTGTGGAATGTGCGGGCCGTTTGTGTGGTCAGGAGTCTTTATTTTTACTCTATAGAGCAGTGTTCATACCCGGGCTTATCTAATCTATAGTTTCCTGGAGCAGAGGAGGAGTAGCAGCTGGTGTGCATTTCAAGCATTACACAGAAGCTGAAAAGAGCAATCAGTGGGGTGTCGGGAGGGGTTGAATGAGGGGGATCTCTGGGTCCTACAAAGCAACTAAAAAATTTAAATCAAAGAGTTCAGTGGGCACTGAAGGCAGGGAGAGCAATGAGGATGCTCAAACCACATTCCAGGTTAGGAGAGCTGGACAGACTATGTGAGCGATGCTAGCAATGAAGAGAAGCAGAATGACTAAAGGCATTTTGTGAAACAAATAGGACTTGGTAACTGGCTATATGTGGGCAATGTAGGAGCTGGAGATGCACTTATAACTCCTACTTGACAGGTTGGGGAGAAAACTGTGTCATTAGGTGACAGGGAGGGAGTAGAAAGACCTAGGAGAAAGGTGATGAGCTCCTTTCTGGACATGCAGATGAGGAATTATGCAAATATCAGGCAAGCAGCTGAATGGATAGATCTTTTCTGAATTAAGCATGCAGACTGGGAGCTGTTAGTATACAAATGCAAATGGTAGCAACCCAGGAGAGCAGAGACACAATCACAGGTGATGTGTGGAATGACAGAGACCAGGCTCTTGGTTTGACCCCCCAAGGAACATAAAAATTAAGTGCTGTGCAGAAAAACAGTGGTTATGAAAGATTAAATTCACCAATAATCCCAAAGCCTTGTTCAATCTTCCTGGCCAAGTCTATTACTAGAGGTTTAACAGATATGAAACTGTTCTCAACCAACATTTGTAAACTAACTTAAAATAGAATCTACATACTAAACAGCCCTGGATTTCTCAATGCCTAGTTTTGACTATTTTTAAAAGATCTTTATATTGCAACTGGCCTTTACTTAAATCGAAATCTATGTCACAACAATTCTGTTAGCTTCTCTTTTTCTGATCTCCTGGCTAGTCTTGTAGGGGTTTGTAGCTCAGTGAAAGCCCAGAGGTTTTCTCTTATCAAAACATTTGATCAGAGGCCTGCTTCAAATGACAATTACTGTCTCCACATGGAAAAGATTCAGATATGGTTCTGGAAGGTGCATGGGGATAATTGGATGAGTGTTCTCGTTTCATAACGTGTCTTTTTCTTTTCATTCAATTCTGTAGCAACAGACGTGGGAATGTGGCCCCCATGGGGGCTGAATGGTGGTATGCTGAGTTCATTTTAAATAACTGGTGCTCGAGAAAAAATAGAGCCTTTATTTATAGTGCTTGCCAATTTTCATGATGCAAATACTCCCACTACAGCCAGCTCAATCTACCAACTTGATGTCCCTGAAAGCAGGAAAAGGAGCAACACTGGCTCTTCTGAGCCAGTGCAGCCGGTGCAGGTGGCTCCATTTACAGGTGAAGGAGTGTTCTGACTGGAATGGCAGCTTATGATGGAAAGCGTGAATCATATAAAATACTGTTTACTTCAAAGAGAACTGATTTACTCATGTGCAGTTTGTAATTCCTGACTTTTCCTTTAAATTGAAGGCTGGAGGTACAGATGCTGTACATACTAATAATCTGATAACTTAAGCACTGGAACTTCTATTTCTTGGTTTATAAGGAATGTTTCTATAACTAGATTATATTTAAGATACGTGTTTTCCCTGCATGTATGTAAGTGCACCCCATGCATGTAATGCCCACAGAAGTCAGAAGAGGGCATTGGACCCCCTGAAACTGGAGTTAAAGGCAATTGCACATGGCTTCACTCTTCACAGGAAGAACAGGCTGCACTCATATCTGGACAAAAGTGCCAGCAAGCTGAAAGTTAGGAGCTCTGCCTTTGTTCATGAGAAATGAGCTCACGGTGCAAACAGTTGTCCCCCAATAGACACTGAAACACAGACCTAGAAAATGTAACACACTGCAACAGAAACCAAAGCCGGGGAAAGCAAGTGTCATTGGCAAACTGTAAAATACTGGTAGGACAAGTTTGAGAAGCCAAAGCTCGGGGTCCCACTCTGACTATAGGCCCTTAATTAGTTTGAACTCTGAGTTCAAGGCCAGTCAGGGCTACATAGTGAGATCCTGTCTCAAAAAGAAAGAAGAAAGAAGGAAGAAAGAAAGAGAGAGAGGGAGGGAGGGGAGA